CCCCATGCCCCCATGCCCAAAATTAACCCCCTTGCCCCTGACCTGGCTCGCCTCCCTTGCCCCTGTGCCCAGATCACCCCCCCCTCTTGACCCTCGTGCTCGGGTCAACCCCTTCGCCCCCATTTTCAGATCAACCTCCTCACCACCATGCTCGGATCAACCATATCGCCCCATTCCAGATCGAACCCCCCACCCCTGTGCCCGACTCGACCCACGACCCCCTCACCCCCATGCTCGGATCCATCCCCTTGTTCCTGGGCCCACGTCACTTCCCAAACCAAGGCCTGAAAACATCCCCGAACACCAAGCCAAACAAAAGTATCAGCTACAGCCATCTTGGCTGAATTTCACCGTGTGATTTGGCAGGATCTCACTCTGGGAAGGTTCACTCGGCAGTGATGAACAGGAGAGCAGCATGGCCACAATAAGATCTCTATACAATCCGACTGATTGGGCGGCCAGATTCCCCACAGTCAGACTTGAGAGAGAGGGACCACCCAACTGGCGGGGGCAACAGCAAACAGCAGCCCCCCCCCCCCCAAGACCACTCTCTCACTGAGCAGAGATCTTGCTCACACTTTTAGAAAGTCTGAAAAAAAAGAGATACTATGGAATGTGCAATAAATATGAAGCACTTGAAATATGAATGTGTTTAATTAAACAAGCCTGTATTACCATCTGGTCTTCTGATCCTGCTTGTGTAATTAACAGCATTTTTAAACACGAAGCACTAATAACAGGCCTAGATAGCAGTCGCAGCAACGGGAGAGAACAGTGGCCACACACAGATTGCCGCGAGAGCACCTCCCGCAGTAAGCAAATGCTACAAAGTTCTGCTTAAAAACACAAACAAACAAACAAACAAGCCAACATACAAACAAGACAAGCAAAAGATGCCACCTTCTTGATCTCCTGGCTAAATTACAAAACTGTTTTAACTCCCAAGCCATGCTGTCTAGCCTTTAGTAATAATGGGCAATAATGGGATATGCAGCGTGCTGATTTCATCCTCATATGTGTGTCATGTGGAGCCTGGGAGTCACATGACGTGTTTTAACATTGAGCTGGAGCACGGTTATGCACTCTCTGTGTAATCCTGCCAGAGGATCGGCGAGCATGTCTATATATGGCATGCTGAGAGGTACTGGTAATACTCCATAAAGCACATTCACGGTGATGACATGGAGCAGATTCTTGGAGGATGACATGCGTCCGCATCTCTCTCCGATGTTTTGGGAGTCGAGGAGAGGCAGGGAGGTCACCTCCTTCCCCGGCGTGAGGGAAACAAGCCTCTGCTTGGAGGTAGAGCGCTGATAACGGCTCCCGCACATCGATTTAACAATTATTGATTGACAGTGACCGAGTCCAAGCAGCAGGACTCCCAGACGACTGGCGGAGTACTGAGAGCAGCGAGCAGCTTCAGGGCCAGGAGCAGCGGGCCGAAGGGAGCGAGGAGCTTAGCGCAGTGTACTACAGCCGACAGTGCGGGGCATTACCTCTGGAGCATTTAAAGCAGGACACACGCCTCACCCCCTTCACTACCGAGTGAATTACTCTGTTAGCGGTTAACACACTGCAATGGCTGCACTGACATCGGCATGACACGCCCCTGAGGTCACCGTGCTCTGTCCCATATGGACCCCCTACCCCCCATGTGCACTCCATATGAGCTGACAGAGTCCCAGTCTGGGATGGCACCCGCAGCATGCATGTGCCTCGCCGGCTACAGCTGAAGGAGACCCAGTTTGGTTGGACAGAGTCTCCTAACCAGGCTGCTTCATTAAGAGAAACCTTTATCGCTTATCTGACCTTAATCCTCACTGCCAGCAGAACCACAGGAGCAGACAAACTCCACAGGATGGGCAGAGATTACCAAGTGCTCCCAATTAGACACATCTTTCACGCGGATAATAATGACAATTACAGCGGGCTAATGATGCTTTCTGAAGGGATGACATTTTTCCTGTCTACCACATAGTTTTATTCTTTTTCTTTTTTGCCCCCCCCCAGATTTTCCTATTTTAATTGACTGAAGGTTATGAAAGCGGCAGGTCAGTGGGAGGCAGTGCACTCCCGGTGATTTTACGCCAGGCTTCGTGATGCTGGTCACGCAGGCTAAGGCCGCACCCGTCGGTCATCAGTTACCCCGGTATTTATTTATTTACCCGGTCCACGCAGCAGCCGCCCATGCCCATGCCCGCAGATTCCACAGCCCAATAACAAATCTTGGCCGTCTCCTTCATTTTTCGCCCCGTTGAGCATGAAACTGGTCATTAAAAGCCGGCGCTGTCAGACGAATCCGAAGTGGCTACCTTGGGCTAGGCAGGTAAACGTTAGAATTCTGGCAGATTCCGACTATTCCCGTAATACATGGGAGATATTTGGGGTTATGGAACCTGTCGAAGTAAATAATGCAAGTTAGACCGATCCGTGAATTTCAGGAGAGGAGTCTCTGCACAAAGCAAGGGGGTGTGATGGGGTAGCTAACTATACCCCCTGCCCCCTGCACACAGCAAGGGGGTGTGACGGGGTAGCTAACTATACCCCCTGCACACAGCAAGGGGGTGTGACGGGGTAGCTAACTATACCCCCTGCACACAGCAAGGGGGGGTGTTGAGCTTGTTGAACTGATTGGTCGGGGCATGGGGCTAGGCTTTCCATATCGAGAGGCTCAGCCACTCTCTCTCTCTTTGATGGCTACTGAAATTGATGGTGATCTAAGTAGTAATGGTGACAGAAGTCCTCCCTGGTTTCATGTTGGACTCGCGCTGTTCTCCAGCATCGTAACGCTGTGCTTTCTCTTAAGATTCTGCATGAAATTTCTTGGAAGAAAAGCACAAAATTCAGCGTATCTAAAATATTTATAGCAGGGAACAGCCTGGCATAGCACCTTGCGGGTGCCCACACACTTCAACACGCACACGCACTCGCACTCCCTGTGACAGATCCTCGCTGAGATTGCGAGAGTGGTTTGGGGCGCTCCTCTTATTCGGCAGCAAGTGATTCATCCATTGCCGTCGATCCCTTTGACCTTGAGCTGGCTTGCTGATATAACTCTGCAGGAGACTACGAACACCCCAGCAAAAACAGGACAGAAACACAGACAAGACCGTACCACGAGGCACCAGAAAACACTGCCCGTGATTAAAATAACAATAAGCCACTGATTATGCAATACCTCAGACTAATGTTTGCACATGCAGGCGATGTTCCGAACAGAATATTCTAACTTCCTGCCAAAAAAAAAGGTGTGTGTGTGAGAGAGTTGGGGGCTGGCTTACGACCGCATCAGCACCGTGAACCACACGGTCACGTGATCTCTATGCATTCCTCTAGACGGCTCATACAGCCGGAAGCAAACAGAGACATCAGACGCGCCGGCATTGGCAGATGGAGAGGTTCCCACAATTACAGGGTGACTCAGAGGGGGAGCGGCTGCACATGTCCCCGGAGACTGTGAGAGACGTGCCACTTGGGCATGACCGGTCCACCAGGAACACCGCTGCTATAGGATGTGCAGGCTTCCTCACTCCCGCCACTAAAATGAAAGGGCCCTAATTGGGGCTAATTTTGCTTGAGAATGGTGAAGCATTCTGCAAACATGGGACTCCAAATGCCCACAAGAATTTGCCAAATGCAGAGAGAGAGTGAAGAGAGTGAATTTATTTTCGAGTAATGAAATCTACTGCGAGACGTTATACATGAGAAGTGGCAGCATTACAGTCTAATTCAGACGGCAGGATGGTCACCCCCCCTCCTGTATAGAGAGCGGTTTCAAAACCTGGAAGAACGTGGCGCAGTTTGGGTCAGTGTTATTCGCTAATGACGGATAGAATCACAGCTACTCCTTTGAAGGTGTGCAGGAGTAAACGTTCATCCCCATGGCACATGCACGCTTCTTTTGAAGGACAGGACGCCCCCGGTGCAAACCGCGAAAACCTGATCCACGCAGCAATTTATGAGAAAAACCAAGAGGGGCCGACACCAGCAAAGCTGCCTCAGATCCTGCTCTCGCCGAGCGGCTTTGGAACTCGACACACACACACACACACACACACACCGCCACCGCCGCCATGCCTTCCACTTTAACGCAAACCTCCTTAAAAATCACAGCTATAATGGACTTGCTCTATAAAACATTCACGTTACTTTACATGCTCCACATCTGAACAGAAACAGATTTTAAAGAGCGCGCATCTTCTGACGGGTGCTTACAGGATATTGATTTGAGTTCATATCACATATTCATTGCCATAATTTTGCTGCCAATTTTTTTTACTTGAAGAGGGTGACCCTTGTGAAATATAATGCAATTTATATGGCACCAAAAGGTGGTACATGTATATTTTTTAACCATTGAATTTAAACGGCTCACTAGGACTGATATTATTATATATAATAAGAGCACATTGGGGGCAAAGAGATTTGAATGGAGCAGTTCATGGATACTGAGATGAATATATAATCTTGCCAGTTAGGAGCTGCTTCCCTAACACTTGTAAGCCTTAAAAAAAAACGGCACCAAGCCTGCAGGTGGTGAAATGGACTTCTGCAGCTCCACACCCACATTTAAAGAAGTCAGCAATGATCATATAACACAAAAAAAAAAAAACAAACAAACAAAAAAAAAAAGACGTTTTAAGTAGCATGAGGACACGAGGATTAAAATGACTTCTCATAGATTTCATTTCAGCATGGTCATATGACCCGCACGGACGAATCGTTTCAAAGAGCCAGAAGTACAGCATCTATCTTTAACTAAGAAAGGGTGTCACTCTCTGAAGCCAGAACATGCCAGAAGGAACCTTCTTATTGCGTGAAACTCAAATTAGTGCCAACCACTGACTGTGAGGACCTCAGAGGGCACAAGTGCTATTGCTGCTGATTAGTGGTTCCCTAGTGTATGTAGTGTGTGTGTGACTCTGTTTGTGTGTTTGTGTCTGTGACTGTGTGCGTGTGTGTGTGTGTGTGTGTGTCTGTGTGTCTGTGTTTGCCCCTACCATTTTCCATATGCTCTGCCTCACCAACACTGCCATCCGGAGTGGTCCTCTCGTAGTTGTCCTCAGGTAGGGGAAGGGCTCCCAGCCTGGGGCCGGACGAGCTCTTGCTGCTGGGCGTCTCAGACTCCTCCAGGCCGCTGTCGTAGCAGCTCTGCAGAGATCCCTGGTGTGGGTCCTGGGGCTGGCTCACCACAGAGAAGGTCACTCGACGAAACGGCTACAAGAAAAGAGAGTCTGGGAGTCACCATTCCGCTCGCTTTGCTAAGCTATAGCAAAACAAAAGTAAATAAGGTTAATAAAGAAATAAAGCAGCTCTCCAGCTCAAACCCATGGTCCCAGGAAAGATGGAAGGAGTTTCTGAGAAATGTCACTTTGTTTATAGCAGTCATTTGCCAAAATGTCAGACCATGTTGTTTCTTGGGTTAATGCTATAAAATTACACTGATGGCTTCGCATTCAAAGCACCACATAAACTGCAAAAGTCAAGCATAAGTCATCCGACACACACCTGGACTGCAGTGTGTGAAAGGCCAACTGCTGTATGTTTACAAATGTTTTCAGCATCTCAGCTGAGACAAAGCAATGTTCATTATGTATTTTCTTTATCACAGGTAAACAGACTCTGGAAGGTTACATTGAAATGGCAGGTGGTCGAGGAGCGCAATGGAAATCATGATTAAAGCTAAAGAGAGATGTTTTATTTATTTGTGCATTTTTATTACAATACCTCAGTGCTTCTCATTTTGAGTTATATGACCTAATATCGGCAGCTTTCACAAACACGTCTCAGTTATGAATTTACCTCTTACCCCACATTTTTACCCAGTTTGAACCCAACAGATGAAAAGCAGAAGCAGAGAAGCCGGGATGAGCAGGAAACTGCCCGTATGCGTATCTCTCAAACATGCAGCTGGGCCTCTTCAGCGTGCCCAGACAGCACTGTGGCAAATGACATTAAATCTCTTCCTCTTTAGCCCTTAAACAAATAGCTAAATAAATGATTACTTAAATAAATAAGACAAAAATACACTGGATGGGCAGGATAGGATCAGTGCAAAATCAATTAATCATTTCAAGTAAGATGTGTAAAACTACCAAGTGCTGTTTGTTTAGGCTGGAAAAGCAGGGAGAGCACCTTGGATCTGACATGCTTTAAAAGATTACAAGGCTGTTTATATTCATTTCTACGTGTGCTTTTTACCCATTAAACATAAAGGCCGTCCTCCAAGAGCAAGGAGCCCTCACCATCCCCAGCCCCAGATTGGGCAGATTGATTGGGGCCGTTAAACTCTTAGGTGATGAACCGATATCCAGAACAGAGACTGTATTTCAGTGTCAAGCTGGAGCTCAACACAACATGGAGATAAGCTGTAGGCTTCAAACCACTAGATAGAACTTTTAAACTTCGGAAGAAAATTTTTAAAAAGAAAAAAATCATAACAGGTAAATGAAAAAAGTGAGAGTGCAGGTAGAGCATTTATATCTGAGCCAATGAAAGGTTGACCTTAGGGTCTCTGAACTGGCAGCCAGAGGAGGTTATAAACTGCAGGTAACATATTACATGTGATTAATGTGGCGAGGTGTGTGTCAGGCAAAGGAGACTGCAGCTCCTGCTTCGCATCAGGTGCACCAATGTTGAGTGGAAAAAAAAAAATTATTATAAAACAGCCACAGTCAGGCGCACACACACACACACACACACACATGCACACACAGTAACACAGACAAGGGCTGGGTGATATGGCAAAATATTTTATTATGATAATTATTTAAAATATCGGCTGATATCGATAATTATCACATTATAATTTATAAGTCATTATTTCTTTACCTCAAGGATCCATTTTTGCTTAAAAGTCTCTTAGGATTTCCTTGAAACAGATTCGGAACATGAAAAATACAACACTTTGAATGGACTGCAAATTTATATCTAATTTAATAAATAAATAATACAAAAATAAATGCTTTGTCATATGGTGCAGTGTTATTATATTGTGGAATTTAGTTTTTATTTTTATACTATTTTCAATTTTCATTTGAAATCCAGTTTAGTTGTAGTTAGTTTTCATTGAGGTTTTGTTACTTTTTATTTAAAAAAACTCAACAATATTTTGTTGAAAATATTTTTCTATTTAGTTTTTTAAATATATTTTAGTTTCAGTTTAAGTTAAGTTTTATTTCTAGGGATAGAGTGAAAGTTTTAGAACTTCTTTATGTGTCTTATCTTCAGACAATCCAACACGGATATGTACATAAAATGCGGAAAACATTCATCTATCCATTTTCTGTAACTGCTTATCCTATTGAGGGCCGTCGGGCATCCCAAGCCTATCCTAGAAGCTATGAGCGCAAGGCAGAGAACATCTGAAGATGGGGCCCATTGCAGGGCACATTGACACACCAGCCAATCACACACCAGTCACTCACACACCAGCCAATCACACACCAGTCTCTCACACACCAGCCAATCACACACCAGTCACTCACACACCAGTCACTCACACACCATTCACTCACACACCAGTCACTCACACACCAGTCACACACCAGTCACTCACACACCAGTCACTGGAGTACCTGGAGGAAACTCCATGGCAACATGGGGAGGACAAGCAAAATCCACACACATGGATCTCTGACAGAGATCTGAACCCACATCCCAGAGGTGGGCCACAGCGCCAACTACTGCCTCACCAAGCCACCCCTCGGCAAAAGGTTCGAGGTATTATTAATCCTCATCTAAAGGCAATATATTATGTTTCCTTGAACGATTTCCATCAAGGGGGGAAATAAACAAATCATTACTTGAGCTAAACAGTATTTTAAAAAATGGTATTTTTATTTGGTTATTTTAATTTCATTTCAGTTAGTTTTGGAAGCCATAATTATAGTTTCACTCTAATATTTTATTTAATTTCAGTTTACATTTATGTCATTGTATTAGTTGTTGTTTTCTTTTTTCTTTTCTTTTGTTCTCCATGGAATGGGTTAGACATGGTAGAGTTATGTACTGATAAATAAAATGCCGTGTTCCTACAAGAACAGGATGTAAATTTTATCATCAGGGACTCGGGGTTCTGAAACTAGGGGCATCCCGCATTTCATCAGATTCAAAGTGAAACACTAAATGCTGGTGTCTGTGACTGTAAGTGCTTGAATTCTGTATGTTCTACCGCATGGCAATGCTTCAAGTGGTGAAACAGGTTCGCAGTTATTTAGTTTTCATTGGCACGAGTTCGGCAGAGTTTACAGTACAGCACACCAGTCTGTTGGGTGTCGGATCTGAAATTGCCAAAGTACTGTCACACCACCGACACCTTTTTACCTTGTCTATCCACAATATCTCCTTCTAAAAAAATGTTGTGGCTGCTAAGCTCTCTTTCTTCACCGACACTTGATGTTTCCCCTGAGGGAACGCTTCTCTCTTTCATAATATTACCAAAAGAGTAGTATGTGGCTCCATTAACTCAATCAACTTTGCTGTGTTTCTTGAGCATAGGTTGTCCTTAAGACTACTATGTGATTGGTTGGAACTCTGTTCGCTGTGATGTGATACTGTAGGCTGATGTGTGCCATCAATCAATGCTCCTTATTCATATGTCAATATATCAATTATACTGCCCAGCCCTAACACACAAAGACACAGTAACACACACACAGACATGGTAAAACACAGACATACACACATTAAGGGTGGGTGAAATTACTCTTTTGTTGGGACACAGTTCATTTGTTCAATGGCACTTCCTGTTTGCATAAAATAGATTTTAAACACTTGTGTTCCAATATGTCAAAAAATTGCCTATTATTTAGGGTAGATAGTGCTATGGGGTAAGCTAAACACTATCAATAAATCATGTGAGAAAAATATTTGTTACTGAATGATCGCCTTGCAGACCTTAGCAACTCATGTTTGTTAATGCAAACCTAACCGCTTATCCCATAGTCAGCAAACGAGTCCAAAAGGCAATAAACCTTGGTTAAAATGTTGCATTGCAAAATTCATATGCAGCATACGGGAAGTCACTGCACATGTAGGTTATATACTGCAGAGGGTGTAACCAACTCATTAAGTTCTTCAGGTCTCTGGTTAGTTGGTGATGGGTGAATGAGAGACTCATGGTGGTTCATTCACTGTATGTGCATATGTTCAGTCCTAGGTTTAGTTTCCAGCCAGTCATATGCTCACTTACAGCACAACCTTACATGCTTCACTGGCTCTCATTGGCCGTAGTCAAGGAGGGAAACAGCATTCACATCATATTTCTGAGGACAAGCGGAAGAATGAAAAGAACATACCTGTGCAGGGAAGTGAACATGAGTGCATAGTTCCTGTAAGGAGCTAATTCCCCTCAAACAAACCATATGGGACTCATTCCCCTTGAATGTCACATAATTAACACACACATAGACACAGTAAAACACACACACAGCAACACAAACAGACTCAGTAACACAGACACAGTAACACAGGCAGGTGCTCGCAAACTGCAGTTTTCCCAGCATGCATCTCATTTGAACACGCAGCAAATCAAGCCCTGACCCGGGGGCCCGTCCTCCCTGCTGCAGGGATCCATAGAGCCCTATCAGATGTTAGACCCCCGCAGCACTGGCAGATTTCACCCCCCCCCCCCCCCGGCACCGCACAGACCCCATCACAGCCCCCCGAAGCCAACAGCACGCCAGGGAACCGGGAAGCTGTCCAACCCCATCAAAACATCGCAGGAGAGACAGGCGAGCGTGTTAAAGTGCTGCAATAAATCTGACATTTTGTACGCCGTGGCATCTTTGTAATGGAATTTTGTTGGGAGAAAAAGCTGCCATATCAGCGTGCGTGTGTGTGTTCTGATTGGTGGAATGAGATGTGAGCAGCCGTCAGCAATACACAAAAGCATATATTTAAAACATGGCCAATGCTTAATTTGTTAGGATGCCGACGCAATGGCTGGACAACACGAGGGGTGCGTGCCACCGGTCCGTATTGCAGAGATGCCGCACACTGCGAGGTGCGCTGGCTGTTGGGGGTGATCTGCGATAGATGCCTGTCCCACTCATATTGTTCTCATTAATGCACTTGCATGTGTCAAGGTCAGTGCAGCCAAGAAAACTGTTTTATTCGTTGTTGTGAAAAATATGCAGATGGGTTTGGCCGAATCAAATGATGACTAACCTGGGGGGGGGGGGGATCAAGACAGCTGTGCATTAATGAATAGATAT